GATACCTGCGATGGACCAGGGAAAGACAAGATCAGGTCAAAACGTGGGGCACGGAGCCCTCCTGCCACACAGACCTTGGATCCAGGGCCAAAACCTGGATGAGATTTGGCAGCTCTGAGAATTCCCACTGCTGATGATCAAAACCCACATAACCCAGCTGCAAATATCCCTCCTAACCACTGGTGTGCCTGAAATAAGGAATCAATGGGCTGGAGGGATGCACTTAATAGAACTGATGGAAATCTGAGGCATGTGGGCTCGAGCACATGAGAAGATGCCTCAAATAGGGAACAGCCCAGCCCTGGTGTGTTTTGAGGTGTGAAGGTCTGATGAAACCACCCTCCAGAGTAAGGATGGAGACCCCATGGGGCGCACAAGGCTGGTCTTGCACATGGTGATCCGGGCACACCACAGAGGCCACACTTACGGTCCTATCCCGTTACAAAGACAAGGACAAAAAGCAGCCAGTGGCCAAACTTGCCCAAATCCAGCTTGTTTGCTTGCAGCTAGCCCCAAGCAGGGCAAATGTAACCTAAAAGATGAGTACGATTGATGCAGGAGCAGCACGGCTGTGGCAGGCAGTGGGGTCAGCTCACCAGTGAGCCCAGCACTGGCAAAGCCCTCTTAAATGTCTAAAAAGGGAGGATTTAAGAGAGAAACGTGATGGCAGCACAAGAGAACAAGGCGAGGGAGACATCAGTGTGTCGGTGGGGGATGAAGAGCTGCTGCAGGTTTCATGATGAAGGGGAGGTCTATTTGCTGCCAGCACACACGTGACGCTGATGAAGGTCCTAAGTTTCGCACTAAGACCCTTCCAGCTCTTTACCCCCCCAGACCACAGCAATGAAGGGCACTGCAATGGTCTCAGCGGGCTGCAACAAGGACCTGGACGAAGCTTAAGCTGGCAAATGGATGAGAGTTGAAGGTTGACCCTCAAACCCAGCCAAGGGCTCTCCTTACCCTGCAGGGAGCTCGCCCTCCTGCGTGTGACGGCGGGAGGCATCCAGGCGGGTTTCCTGGTGCTCCTTCCTCCTGCAGAACAAGGAACGTTCATTTCCAGAGGGACTTTCAGGCCTCCAGCTCCTTCCTCCCGCCGAAGCCAGCGCAGCCTCGGGGTCTCCATCATCCTTTACACGTGGGCTGCGTTTCCTGGCAATGAGGTGGTTCGGTGGCTCCGAGCCATCCGTCTCCTCCAAGCACGCTGGCTGCCAGCCCGCTTCCTGCCAGCCAGCCCTGCCGGGGGGAGATGCTGAGGATACGTGCGGGGAGGGAGCAGCTGGAGAGCCGGCGCTCGGGAAGGAGGATGCTGTAAGATGTAACGGGAGGGGATGGTGGTTGCTTTAAAGTCGGCTGCAGGCAGGAGGGGCCGAGTCCCGGGAGATCAGGGGGGTTGTAGGGATGGGGTGTGCAGCATCCGTGGGAAAGGGCCTGGGAAAGAGGCACAAAGCTGGGAAAGGCTGCAGTGATTCGGGGAAACCTGCGGTGAGGAGGCAGAAGAGAATATACAGGGGAAATGTGTGGGGAAAAGTGGAGCTGTTGGAGCGAGTCCATGGAGGTGGCTGGGGAGACACAGCAATAAAGAGGATTCTGCTGGTTGCTGGGAGCTTAACTCCAACCCACCAACCCCATAGGATCAGAATCAACCAGGCTGGGAAAGCCCTTCAAGCTCATCCAGTCCAACCTTTACCCCAGCACTGCCAAGGCCACCCCCAACCCATGGCACTGAGGCCTCATCTCCACAGTGTGTGAACACTTGCAGGGCCGGTGCCTGCAGCCCTGCCCTGGGCAGCCTGTTCCAATGCCTGAGCACCCTCTGGGGCAGGAATTGTTCCTCAGCTCCATCTAAACCTGCCCTGGTGCAGCTTGAGGCCGTTTCCTCTTGTCCCATCCCTTGTTCCTTGGGAGCAGAGCCCAGCCCCTCCTGGCTCCATCCTCCTCTCAGGCAGTTGTAGGCAGCCATCAGGTCCCCCCCTGAGCCTTCTCTTCTCCACACTGAACCCCCCAGCTCCCTCAGCCCTTCCCCATCACACTTGGGCTCCAGGCCCTGCACCAGCTCCATTGGATAAGGGGGGAAATACCCCAACAAGCACTTTCAGGAGAGCAGAAGGGTGCACTGAAGCCCCAAGGGTCCTGTTTTTCCCCTTTACTTTCACTGCCCAAGCTCCCATCAGCAAGCATTGCTCACCAACGTGGTCCAGCTCCAGAGAGCCACTGCGTGGTGCCTGTCCCACGCTGGTCCTTGTGGAAGAGCTCTGCAGCTCATGGATAAACCCACCAGTGCTCAACTTTCAGCCTCTCCTGCAGCACCACCAGGATTCCTCTGCTCCCGTTAGCACTTTGGAGAGGTGCAAAGCGAATCCATCCAGCTTCTTGGCTCTAAATCACACCAAGCTGTGCTAAAAGCAACCAAGAGTTTGTAAATGCATGGTTTGGGTCAGCAAAGGGGAAAGGTGCTGGTAAGTTTTAAAATCCAAAGGTGTTTTCCCAGTAAAAAAAGGAAAGCACCCCGTCTGACAGGGAAGAGCAAACCAGACCTGGAAAACTCCTTGGCACGGAGAGGAGGTTGGCTAGAAGTGAGGCTGGAGACTCCCACGTAAAACCTGAGATGGGATTTCCCTGGATATGAAGGGAATTCCCTTGAAAGGAAAAGCATGAGATGGAATTTCCCTTAAAACACCATTGGCACCATCTTGGAGGGCAAATCACCACTCAGGACACTCTTAGGATGCTTTTACCCAGAGCCTTTTGCCCAGATGTGACACAACAGCACAACATAAAGGGTTTTGTTTCCATTTCCAAACCCTAGAATCTCCCCCAGGTACTTCTCCCTGAGCCAGCCAGCTCTAATCCCACACCCTGGAATCTGCCCGTGAGCCACCTCCAATGCTTGGCAGGCATCGATCACCCTTTTGTGCGCACACCCCTTGATTTTCCCCAGGGGCACTGCTAAAGTGGGACAAGACCCATCACCCTGGGTCTGGAACAAGCTCCCTGGCAAGCTAAGCTCCATCAACAGCCCACTGACCTCTGCTGCAGCAGAGGCATCCCTGGGGTTACAGAGCACGTGTGAAGCAGGGTGTTGTAACTGGTGCCTCCCCATGGCCTCACTGGGACAGACCTGGTCCAGAGCAGAACAGCCCAGGCTGCCTTAAATCCCTGCGGATGCTCTGGCAGGAGGAGGGAAAGGCAGGGACAAAACCCGGTGCTAAAACCTCCTGTTACCCAGGTGGGGGGAGGCTGGGGCACTCAGTGATGTTGAGGGCTAACAAAATGCAGTCATTCAGAAGAGATCAGATCACCTTTTAATTCCACGGGGTGACCGCACGTGTGGAGATGGAGGTGGGAAAGGAGCTGCCAAACCGGAGCAGGTCAGGAAGCAGCAGGGTAAATGAGACTGACCAAACCAAAGCAGTTCAGACCTTGGGGGTTTCCTCCTTGATTGTGCTTGTGCTTCTCCCTGCTTCCATAGACATTACCTGGCCAGGTCCCTGCGGAGCGAGGCTGCATCCCGCTCGGCCTCTCCTGCCTCCAGCGGTTGCTGTCAGCTCTGGAATTCACTCCTGATTTATTCCACACCGGATACACACCTGGCAAAAGAAAGACACCGTAGAGCTGCTGAGGGACATGACTGTTCCTGCCTACCCGGCCAAAAGCTCTCCCAGGCAGTTGTATTATGGGCCATGGATAAATCATGGAACCAGTAATGGAAACCGCACTGATTTTCGTATTTGCCATCCCATTGCAGCAGGGAAACAAGAAAATCAAACCTAGTCCATAACCTTGATCAAGTAGGAGAAATAAGGTTTAGAGGTACCGGACAAGATGCCCCCACTCCAGCCTTTGGGAGACTCTTCCACCCTATCCCATCTTTGCCATGTATGTGACAAACTTCAGCCCAAGCTATGAGGTTTTGTGGGGCTTCCCTGCATGAAACCCCTCCTTTTGGGAAGGCACAAGGAAGTGGGAGCCGTTTGCTTTTATTCAAGGAGAAACAAAGTGATCAGAGATACCCAGTAAAGGAGTAAGAGGCAGTCAAAGAAAATCAAAAGCCTTTTGTGTGCAATAAACGGGACGAAGGGAACAGGAGACATTTAATAGGGAACAGAAGCTGCAGCAGGCAAACAAACACACGGCACAAACCTTTCAACCTGCTGCAAAACAGAGATTTAATTAAAACCCCATCAATAAACAGGCAGAAAACATTCCCTGGGCTTCCCAGAAGCAGGTGGAGGTGGTAAAGTCAAACCAGCTTCTTCCTCCTTAGAGAGGCCTGAAGGTCAGGGTTACCTCATCTCGCCCACTCCTCCAGCAGCAGCTGTTTGGTGGCGTACCACCAGATTCCAAGTGGTTTCTGGTGCCTTTGGCTGGAGAACAAGGCCCATCTCCAGCTCCTCCAGCACCGGGCACCGAAGGCTCCCATGTGGTGCCCACGATCACTGCAGACGGACGGGCACCGCGGGTCTCAGAGTGGGCACGGTGAGAGCAAAGCCCATTTCTAACCCATTCTGGTGGCTGCTGACGTTGAATGAAGTCCAGGAAGTCAGGAGCCCCTGCCCTCGTGCCCAAGGTAAAACCCACTCGGGCTGTGCTCGGCTCCTTCCTCCGGCCACTTGGCTGCAGCTCCATGCCCTTCTCTCAAATCCTATGGAAAACACCTCCATTTCCTTCTCCCTTTTCTTGTGAAATTAATCCCAGGAAGCTCCCGCAGCATCCCTAATCCATCCCCACCGCTTTGTGTCACCTCCACAGCAATTAGGAGCCTCTTTTGCTGCCGACTGCTGCTTTTCATCCCATTACCACGTCGTGTAATCGTCTCCTTGTCGGGCTGGGGCTCCTTCTCCACTTGTTACTGCTGCTCTGGCACTTCAAACACAAATTAATCAAGGCAGGAGCTGCCTTTTCATCATATTCCATGCTATGGCTTAGCACGAGGGGCAGGCGGCCTCTCCACGAATGCAAATACACACTTAACACCCAAGGAAAAGCACTAAGCACCAGGCTAATTCGTATAAAAGCTTTATTAAAAACGAGGACACAGCCTCCCAGGGAGAGCGTTCTGCCCCCTCTCCCCACCCTTAACGGCCATAATTAAATACAAATAGCTACAAAAAGGCTTTGCACCTCCATACAAGGAGGGAGGACTAATCCTCGCCTCGCTGTTGTTTCAGAGGTGGATGGAGAATGTGGTTTTCCACAGTGATTTGCACCCACGCAGCCAGAGAGGCCTGCCAATGGCATGAGCTGCACCCTGCAGGACGGGGTTCTGCTGTTTTATGGCCCAGGAACCAGGATGGGATGTGATTTTACCCCCCGTCTGTATTGCTTCAATTCAGAGAGAGAAAAGGGAATTGTTATGGCTTGGTCTTGCATCAGATACGTTACGCTAGGTAAGGAGCTGGTACTTCCAAGTCCTAAACATTGCACAAAATCCTATCACTAGTTTTATTTCAATGGTAAATAATTAATAACAATAAACCCCAGAGGTACTACTGTCACAGAAAAAAAAGACCAGCCCTATTTAACCACCATCTACAGCTGGGAAACTAAAGGATAAATAGGGCCTTAGTTTAGGAAAGCCTTTTCTTCTACTCATACCCCCAAAACTGCCCCCTGCCTAATCCAGGACCAGTTTTAACAGCGCTAATATTTAGTGCATCAACCACTGTGCATCCTCAGCACACCAGCTGTACTACACCAGCTGTATTACACCGGCTGTATTACACCAGCTGTATTTATTACACCGGCTGTATTACACCAGCTGTGTTACGTCGGCTGTATTACACCGGCTGTATTTATTACACTGGCTGTATTACACTGGCTGTATTACAACAGCTGTATTACATCGGCTGTATTACACCGGCTGTGTTACACCGGCTGTATTACACTGGCTGTATTACACCGGCTGTGTTACACCGGCTGTATTACACCAGCTGTATTACACCGGGTATATTACACCAGCTGTGTTACACCAGCTGTGTTACACTGGCTGTATTACACCAGCTGTACTACATCAGCTGTATTACACCGCCTGTATTACTACATCGGCTGTATTACACCACCTGTACTACATCTGCTGTATTACACCGCCTGTACTACACCGGGTGTATTGCACCAGCTGTATTACACCTGCAATTCAGCTGCACGTTATTTGGTACAAAACACAGAAAAGGGTGAAAAAATACTCAAAAGGTATCAACTTCTCAGCTCCCTCACAGATGTTTTCCACGTCCTGCTGTAAAAAAAGAGTCTAAAGCCAAACAGCTCTACAAAAGCTCCTGTGCTCGAGTCGTACGCACACGTTAAAACGGGAACGATACAAAAGTATTCGGGTAGCAGGGGTCGTGTATAAAATGTCATACAAAGAGGGTCGGGAAAGTACAAAACGAGGGCAGATTGCATAGAGCAGAGCGTTCCACAGCGTCGGCGGCCTCAGCAAAGCCCCGCAGCTCACTGCCTGCAGAACTCGCTGGTGATGTTGGGGAGGGGGTAGGCAAAGAGGGAGAAGTCCAGGATGTACTTTGGCAGGAGGTCTCTGATGAGGCGGCGCTGGGTGTTGCACAGGTAGTAATGGAGCGTTTCCGCCGTGACGGGCTTGTACCAGGGCTGCCGCTCGGGGAAGCGGATGAAGGAGGGCGACCGGACGCGCTCCAGGACGTAGTTGGCGTCGGCGCTAAGCCGCTCGTAGGAGCCGATGAAGTCGTAGCGGACGGCGCAGGGCTGGCACAGGTTGTAGATGGGCATCCAGTGCTCGTTCATCCTCTCCACCTCCTCGTCCAGCAGGTACCGGAGGAACTCGGCGAAGGTCACGTCGTCACCGGCCGAGCTCCCCCCGTTCCGGCGGTACCTGCGGACGATCTCCACCCCGTACTTCTGCTGGTACTCCTTGATCTCCCCAAACTTGTTCCTGTAGGCCGACAGCAGCCTCTCCATGGGGTTCCGCACGAAGAGGAACTTGTAGTAGTGCTTCAGGCGGTAGCTGATCTCGTCCGGCTTCATGTCCCCCAGGAAGACCAGGTCGCTCTTGTGGTCCATCTTCACCTTGACGTCCACGCTCTCCAGCGCCCCGTCCAGCACCTTGAGGATGCGCTTCCAGTTGGAGCAGGCCACCTTGGGCACGTAGCAGTACAGGAAGCGGTACTTGTCGCTGACCAGGAGGTGCCGCAGCACCGTGCGCCGCTGCCCGGCCGGCAGCTCCCACACGCTGCGGGGCATGGCCCGCTGCCCGCACACGGCGCCGATGGTGCGGTTCCGCACGTCCCGCAGCACCTCGGACTCCACGTCCCCGGCGGCCTCCGCACCGCCGCCGCGCCGGGACGGCTCCCCCGGCGCGGGGTGCAGCGGCGGCGGCTTCACGTCGGCCAGGATGCCCTTCTCGATCATGAGCAGCAGCCCGCTGGAGGCCAGGATCACGCCGAACATCAGCATGGAGGGCAGCAGAACGGGGCCGCCGCCGCCCCGCGCCCGGCTGCGGACCGAGGCTGGCGCCCGCCGCAGCTCGGCGGGACACAGGGGCCGGGGGAGCATGGCCTGGCTCGGGGCCGCCTCAGCCGCCGCGCCGCATGCGGGCACCGCACCGGGGGCTCCTCGCCCGGTACCGGGGGGGGGACGGGGGGGGGACGGGGCTTGGGCGGGGCAGCGGCCGGCAGTGACGCGGCCGTGCAGGGCGGGAAGGGGCCGGGGGAGGCGGCGGCCATTTTGCGGCGGCTCCGCCCCGCCGCTGCCCTCCCTCAGGGGTGGGAGCGGGGTGAGGGGGCTGCTCCCGCCTCGGGAGCGGAGGGGCCGTGACCGCCCCTGTCCGCCCGGAGCCGGCCCCGCAGTTACCGGGGGTGAGAGGAGCGGCCCCCGCGCCCCAAACACGCTTTAAATGCGGTTTGAAATGAAGCCCTGGGGGGGTTGACCTGAGGTAAGTGCGTCCCAGCCCGTGCGGAGCCTTCCCGCGGCTGTGCGCAGGGATAAGGCTTTAGTTCATGGAATCACAGAACCCCAGCGTGCGTTGGGTTGGAAGGGACCTCAAAGCTCCTCCAGCTCCAACCCCTGCCACGGGCAGGGACCCCTTCCACTGGAGCAGCTTGCTCCAAGCCCCTGTGTCCAACCTGGCCTTGAGCACTGCCAGGGATGGGGCAGCCACAGCTTCTCTGGGCACCCTGTGCCAGCGCCTCAGCACCCTCCCAGGGAAGAGCTTCTGCCTAAGAGCTCATCTCAGTCTCCCCTCGGGCAGGTTCAAGCCATTCCCCTTGGCCTGTCCCTACATCCCTTGTCCCAAGCCCCTCTCCAGCTTTCCTGCAGCCCCTTCAGGCACTGGAGCTGCTCTCAGGTCTCCCCTTCAGGAGCCTTCTCTTCTCCAGGCTGCCCCAGCCCAGCTCTCTCAGCCTGGCTCCATGGCAGAGCTGCTCCAGCCCTTGCATCCATCCTGGTTTCCCCCCTGTGAGGTCAGTTAGGCAGGGCCAGCCTCGTGGCTGTAAGGTTTTAGCAGCCCAGAGGTGAAGGAGGTGATGGGTGCTGGCAGTGCGGGTCAGGCTGTGCCAGCACCCGAAAGCCAAAGGACAAAGTTTACCAGAGGCTGCAGGTATTTCCCCCAAGCCTCCTTCTGTGACTTCTGCAGCTCAGCTTCAGCTCTGGGCCCAGGCAAACTGCTTGAAGCAACCAGGCTGGAAAAGCCTTCGAACTCATCCAGTCCAACCCTTACCCCAGCACTGCCAAGGCCACCACTGCCCCATAGCACTGAGGCCTCGTCTCCATGGTGTGTGAGCACCTGCAGGGCCGGTGCCTGCAGCCCTGCCCTGGGCAGCCTGTTCCAATGCCTGAGCACCCTCTGAGGAAGGAATTGTTCCCAATCTCCAGTCTAATGCTGGATATCAGGAAAACATCTGAGCCTTTGGCCAAATCAGCAATGAGCCATAACCAGTGGCTCCCCCTTAGAGCCCCATGGGCAGCTTGAGCTCCCCATGGCAGCACAGCATCCCTGAGGATGCCGTTTCCACACAGAGCCCCCTCACCCTGGCAGCACTCTCCTTCCCTGCAGTGATCTTCAGAGCGTGCCACAGGGCTCGTGTGTCTCGCAGGGACTCTCTCTGTCAAAAGCTTCCTTAACATCAAGAGAGGAACAGCTCCCACTTAGTTCCCTTTGATCAGGAGCCAGGAGCATCTTGTCAGCCACGGCAGAGCAGTGCTAGCGAAGCGTGAGAGCCTGCAGCTACATTGCTTTGCACTTTACAGCTTGATTTTGATGTAAGCACAGCACCAGCTCCGGGAGGAGACGATGCATTCTGCCCTGCCACCAGCAGCACTGCGCTCTGCAGCACCAGGGGAGCTCTGGTTCCAGCAGGCAGCTCCGAGGATCTGATCCTGATCTCAGCACCACTGTAAACCAAAGCTCTGCCAACGTATACAATAATCCATGGCTCCAGCATGAGGACTGGGCCTCCCTGGAACACCCTTGTCTTGGAGAAAATGGCTCCGATACCGTAAATACCTGTTTGCTTCTGATATTTATCCAGTTGACTTTGGAACCGGATGCTCTTGAGGTCCTTTCCAGCCCTAACTATTCTGTGATTCTATGGTACTCCTGCCAAAGCAGCCAAGGGAAGTTTGTGTTCCTTAGAAGGCACATTAGCCTGGCACTGCACATCCTCTTTTGTGTCAGTTTACCCCTAATATATATAACTGCTGCAGACCTATAGATAACAGAGTGGTTCTGAATATACGTTCCAGGCTGCTAGAACTTGCAGGCTGCCCATTTCATCCAGTGCCTACACAAAGAAATTGTAAGGACCGGTCCAAACAGCACAGGTACACGGTGGGATGCAAAGTCTTTCGAGGAACACCATAACCAAGCAAAGACACAGTTCAGGGGTTGCTGAGTTCCTTCGCAAGGCTGAGCCCATGTCAGTGCAGCAGCGAGCTGTGGTTACATGGGACGTGCCTGTTGCTCACTCTGGGTGTCGATAAATTGGATCCTCGAAGTGCTTAAAAGAAACCTGATGGGAAAGGCCTCCACAGACAGACCCATTTCTGCTGGAAAGGTTCCTTTAGAAACTAAAATGTCTCAGAGGAAACCCAGCTGCACGTTACTGGGTTTGCCTGCAGGTTTATGCTGCAACCCACAAGCGATGGAAGAGTCTGGTTCTTTCTTACAGGTGCACAAGGAGGACTTTTCTAACTCACAACCCTTCTCAGGGTGCTTTCAACCCCACATTTACCTTTGTCTCTTGCTCAGGCTGAGTAACCACCGAGTGCTCTGGCTCTGCAGGAGGTGCTTGGGATGCAGGCAGCCCGGCAATGACAGGAGCTGTGAGCAGCTCGCTGGTCCCAGTGAACCTGTGAGCAGGGAAGGAAGAGACTTGTTAGAGCTTCATGTGACTGACCTGTGGGCTCATTCTGGGGTGTTCTGGGCAAAGTTGGGTGATGTTATCCCTGGAGGTTTGTCTAAAGACCCAGGAAACCACCTTCAGCACGGGCTGAAAGGTACAGATTTCAGTGTGAAGTTGAAGTCTGTCCCTGTGCCCCATTTCAGAGTCCATCCCTCCTGCACCTCGGGCAGTGCACACAGTGCGCATGGCTCTTGGCTCCACAGCAGCAGCACTTTAACACTGCACAGGGCACCCTTCCTAACCGTGAGCGCCTGGAAAACAGGCAGGGTTTGCAGCAATGCATTAACCAGACCCAGCTCTCACTGCTGTGTGTGGGTACATCACAGCCTGCACTTCAAACGTGCTGCATCCATGGGAACCCTCAAGTCCTACAAATGGTGCAGAATCCCAGGGCGGTTTGGGTTGAAGGGACCTTAAAGCTCCTCCAGCTCCAGCCCCTGCCACAGGCAGGGACCCCTTCCACTGGAGCAGCTTGCTCCAAGCCCCTGTGTCCAACCTGCCCTTGAACACTGCCAGGGATGGGGCAGCCACAGCTTCTCTGGGCACCCTGTGCCAGCGCCTCAGCACCCTCCCAGGGAAGAGCTTCTGCCTAAGAGCTCAGCTCAGTCTCCCCTCGGGCAGGTTCAAGCCACTGGAGCAGGTTGCTCACCTCTTGCTTCCTCACAAACCTGCTCCAAACCTCGCAATGCTGAGGATGGGGTTGGCAGGGACATTGGCACTGGCTGGCACTGAACCCCCCCCCCCCGCGTTGCTGAGCTTTTGCTCCGTATCCTCTCAGGAACACCTCTCCATTAGAGCAGCTGCTCTGTTTTCCAGTACAGGTAATTCCAATGCTCCTGCCGCTGGGAGAGCAGAAGAATATTCGTCAAGACTCAGGAGATTCCAGCACTGTTAAATGGATTTGCCTTTACGAATTACAGTGGTCAGACCCACTCCAACTCCAGCTTGGTTTTGCCAAGTGCTCAGGAGAGATTTATAGAGATATCAATATCCAGTGTGAAGCCACAGGATAAATGGTGCCTCCATTGAGCACATCCATGTGGGTAAATCCAGGTTAAATTGTTTCCTTTATTAAATATCCTTTCCTTTTAAAACCGGATTAACTGCTCTCACCGGAGGCTCTGATGGAAAAGCATCTCATCTCTATAGCAACGAGGCACATGCACCCGTTGCTCCCACTCCTGTTCCTTGGCTTCATAGGAGCTGGGACCTCCACAAGCATAGGATTATAGAATAGTCAGGGTTGGAAAGGACCTTAAGATCATCCAGTTCCAACCCCCCTGCCATGGGCAGGGACACCTCACACTAAACCATGGCACCCAAGGCTCTGTCCAACCTGGCCTTGAACACTGCCAGGGATGGAGCATTCACAACCTCCCTGGGCAACCCATTCCAGTGCCTCAGCACCCTCACAGGAAAGAATTTCCTCCTTAGATCCAATCTAAACTTCCCCTGTTTCAGTTTGAACCCGTTACCCCTTGTCCTGTCACTGCAGTCCCTAATGAAGAGTCCCTCCCCAGCATCCCTATAGGCCCCCTTCAGATACTGGAAGCTGTTCTGAGGTCTCCCCGCAGCCTTCTCTTCTCCAGGCTGAACAGCCCCAACTTTCTCAGCCTGTCTTCATACAGGAGGTGCTCCAGCCCCTGAGCATCCTCGTGGCCTCCTCTGGACTTGTTCCAACAGTTTCATGTCCTTTTTATGTTGAGGAGACCAGAGCTGCACACAGTGCTCCAAGTGAGGTCATCACCACCACAGCATCCCCATCATTAATTCCTTCCCCAAGGCTGGTACCTGCTACAGCATCACAGCTTCACATTGTGCCAGCAGCTCCTTTGGAAGGCTGGTGGGTCCCATCCTGTATATGGAGAGTGGGCATAAAATCCCAGCCTGGTTTGTATTGGAAGGGACCTCAAAGCTCCTCCAGCTCCAACCCCTGCCTCGGGCAGGGACCCCTTCCACTGGAGCAGCTTGCTCCAAGCCCCTGTGTCCAACCTGGCCTTGAACACTGCCAGGGATGGAGCAGCCACAGCTTCTCTGGGCACCCTGTGCCAGCACCTCAGCACCCTCCCAGGGAAGAGCTTCTGCCTGAGAGCTCATCTCAGTCTCCCCTCGGGCAGGTTCAAGCCATTCCCCTTGGCCTGGCAGTACAGCCCT